AGTATCTGTTCTGTCTGGGTTTTTGTTCACTGGAGTCTTTTAATTAAATTTAATTCAAAATAAAGTTTTGATTCATTATTTTCCTAAATTCTTTACCGTATGTTTCAGACGAACCAGGGTTCTACCCCAGAGTTTTGTCACTCTGTAGAGCACTATCTCAATACCTGCTCAGTGTGAGCCAGCTCCCTTCTTCACTACATATTCCCTCAGACAAGGAGCACCTCATCACCACCTTCACCTGCACTGCCACTGAGGTAAACGACTAAGCAAATTGTTTTGTAGCCCACTGAGTTGGTTGGATGATGTTTGTTGATGCTTTAGATTCAAATAAATTAAATGTATCTTTTGATTTGATTTCAGAAAATTAAAGCTTGAAGAGCATATCAAATTAGTATGATATGACTGCTTTGCACAACCTTTGATTTCTTTACAACTGTCTTAAAACTGTGTGAATGTGACATCATGGTTACACAGGTTGTAGTGTGGCGTCTGCTCCAGGACCGGCTGCCCCTGAGCGTGGACTTGCAGTGGGCACTTTCTTGCCTGTGTCTGGCGTTGCAGCAGCCCTGCGTCTGGAACAAGCTCTCCACTCCAGAGTACACCACCCATACCTGCTCCCTCATTTACTGCCTTCGCCTTATTATTGTTGCAGGTAATCAAGGCAGAAAGATGTATTTTTGCACTTTTTTGTAATATCTTTGCTAATTAAAAGACTTTCGCCTTTCCCTCGCAGTGGCTGTGAGTCCTGGTGACCAGCTGCTGCATCAAGAGAAGAAAATGGCAAAAGGAGAAAAAGATGATGGAGACCAGGTGGATGCAGCACATGCTGACCGTAAGAATCGAATTAGACACAGAGTTAAAGTTCAGGGTTGTTTCATGTAGTTTTATTATTGCAGTCGTCTTTTTTTTTTGTTGTTGCTGTGAGTAATTCTTCTCAGATGAAAGCTTTAGGGTAACATTTAAGTCTTTGTGTTACAGACATGTGTGAGTGGCAAGCATGTGAGATCATGGCTGAGCTGGTGGAGGGTCTGCCGAGCATCCTTTCCCTTGGTCATCGTAGAAACTCCATTTTACCCACTTTTCTCACACCAACATTGCGCAACATTGTTATCAGTCTGTCTCGGCTTCCTCTGGTCAACAGCTACACCCGAGTACCTCCACTGGTGAGTTTTTGAAAGAGGTTGTGCCAGTAGGTAACTGAATTTAACATATAATTAAAATCTATTTCTTCTTCTTTTTAAAAAAAATCTGTTTATATGCTCTGTCTTTGTGGTTTAGGTTTGGAAACTGGGCTGGTCCCCTCAGCCAGGAGGAGAGTTCGGCACAACGCTGCCTGAGATCCCTGTGGACTTCCTTCAGGAAAAGGATGTCTTCAGAGAGTTTCTTTACCGCATCAATACATTGGGTACAGAAACATACAATCAGTCCATTCTTAACACATCGATGATGCTTTCACTTTTTAAATTACTTTTTATACATATATTATTTTTAAAGCCCTATGCATTAAGCATCTGTGTGGCTTTTTGGTTGTTCAGGCTGGAGCAGCAGGACTCAATTTGAGGAGACCTGGGCTACTCTACTAGGGGTGCTGGTCACCCAACCCATCACTAAAGACCAGGAGGAGGACCCGCAACAGGAGGTATGCACACAACTTGAACTCTAGAAATGTTACTGGGAAGGAAGATTTATGGAAGTACAAACTTTGCAGCATGCTCATATGAACTGAATATGAACTGAACTATTTGTTTATATTGGAGTATGTAATGGTCTATATTTTTGTCATGTGTCATTTAGCACATGCTCTAAATATTATGATGCCTTGCAAAAAGACAATACATCTGTTCCTATTGCCCTCTTATTGCATGTCTTTCTTATTTGTTTTTCTCTAGGAGGACTTGGAGCGTACCCAGTTGAATGTGTTAGCAGTGCAAGCCATCACCAGCCTGGTGCTGAGTGCCATGACCCTTCCCACTCCTGGCAACCCAGCAGTTAGCTGTCTGGAACAGCAGCCTCGCAACAAGAGCCTAAAAGCCCTGGAAACACGGTAGTTATGGATGTAATATTTGTGTACTTTGCAGCTGCCTAAAATGAGCAAGTGACAGATTTTTTTTACCCTTTTGCTAATGTTTATGCTCAGGTTTGGAAGGAAACTTGCAGTGATTAGAGGTGAGGTGGAGAGAGAGATTCAAGCGCTTGTGTCAAAAAGGGACAACGTCCATACATACCACCCATACCATGCCTGGGATCCTGTGCCCTCACTATCAGCAGCTTCTGCAGGTAATAGAAAAAGTGCAGTCACACTCTCATTAGCCTCAACCACTTCTTAAAATGTATTTGTAAAGTAACTGCTTGACTTATTTGTTTCAGCAGGTACGCTGATCAGCCATGAGAAACTGCTCCTTCAGATCAACACAGAGAGGGAGATGGGCAACATGGAATACAAACTGGGGCAGGT